CTCGTCAATCTCGCCTCACGTCGAGATCGACGCTGCCGCACGCCATCGTCAACGTCGACGACGACGTCGAACCGGTTCGACAGCTAGTTTTGTGCGTGTATATGTGCGTGTGTATGTCGCTTCCACACATACACACACACACACGTTAGCAGCTGCAGGCTATCGTCGAGAAACGGCGAGACCGAGGGGCGAAGGTGTTGGGCGGCTGAAGCAGGGACCCAGCAATGGACTTTCTACATTTAAGGGAGAATTCCGCGAGGTATAGAGTTTATCAGCCTTAAATGTAAGTAGTCATAATTATATTAATTTAAAGGTTGTAATCAGCTCCTTAATCCAAGCGCAACGTGATAAACGATAACTGCCAGTATATAGTTCTATTACCTGTACCCAAAAAAACGAAAAGGTTGGCCTCGTTCTAGGAAACAAAAAGCTAATCTTACTGGGCAATTAGAGAACTTCCTGTAATTTTTTGAGAATACCTTTTAACTTTGATGGAGAGCATTCACTGCAAATCACGTCACTTATGAAGGAAAAATTTTGATTTCAAGGCCATATTAGAGAAAATCTCACGTGTGCGATAAACGATATTTTACACACTGCGACACATTGCACTATTTTATCACGGTTTCTCAATCTGAGCTTCTTTGGCGTCCTTAGCTATTGTAGGATAGAAATTGCAACTAATTTTCTTGTTGTCTCACCACTCTACACTTAAGGAAGCCAGGTTAAAAAGTGATTACTGAATAACTGCCAGGTCATCACGTTAGTTTCTCAACGTGAACGATTTACTGGACGAAAACCAGTAGGAGATATTGCATAATCCCGTTAAGCGTCATTCTTATATGCGCAAAGACGCAGCATGACCTGGCCAGTTCAGGATCGAAAAAGCGGTCACCACAGCGCGAAAATCATATGAAAGGGAAAATGAGATGAAACAGTAGTGGAGGCTGCTTTCAAACATGATCAGAATTTTGAAGGAGTCGCATGGAAGGACAGGACAGTGAGGAAGTTTCTTGTTAAAAAGATTGTTCTACATTAGAAACACAGCAACTGTATTTTCGGATTACAGTATCCATTTTGTGCGATTCGATGAATCGTAATTTACAGAGGCGAGAACAAGCGAAAAGACGAGCACAAGGTTCGCACTCAACATAATTGACATGATGTCGACGGAGTGGATAGATAAGACACTAACAACGTAGTAATATGTCGATCGGCGGACGAGTTTAAAGCAGGATGATTGATTGATCAGTGATCGAAAAAAGTAGTAGTGGTAGTAACAAGTAGGACAGGCTGTTACTGACCACTGCAGCATGTTCTCTCGAGTGCCGGCTGCGGGGGTGTTGTGCGTGTGTCCGTCGCAAGGGGTTGGCCCGCAGCCATGGCCGCTGAAACCTCCATCTACCGTATCCGGGCTCGGCCCGCCCCCAAAGTGCATTAGTAACAGCGTCGAGCACACG